ATACACTTATATATCTAACACATACTTAGTTTACATTTCGAATTTGCACATAATATACCTGTACAATCATGGCCAAAAGTTTTGGCAGTGACATAAATTTTGTGTTTTGCAAAGTTTGCTGCTTCAGTATTTGTAGATTACTTTTCCACATGTTTCTATGGTATACTGAAAAACAATGATAAGCATATCATAAGTTGTAAAGGCTTTTATTGGCAAAAACATTTAAGTCAATATTTACAGTGCTGACCCTTATTCTTCATAACCTCTGCAATTCGCTCTGGCATGCTGGATATTAGCTTCTAGGCCAAATCCTGATTGATGGCGATCCATTCTTGCCTTATTAGTTCTCGGAGTTGATCACAATTTGTGGGCTTCTGCTTGTCCACTCGCCTTTTGAGGACTGACCGCAGGTTCTCTATGGGATTGAGATCTGGGGAGTTGCCTGGCCACGGATCCAAAATTTCAATATAATGATCTTCGAGTCACTTCTTTATCACTCTTGCTTTGTGACATGGTGCCCCATCATGCTAGAAAATACACGGATCATCACCAAACTGCTCATGGATCGTTGGAAGAAGTTGCTCTTGCAGGACGTTTTGATACCATTTTTTATTCATGGAAGTGTTTTTGGGCAGAATTATGAGAGAGCCCACTCCCTCGGTTGAAAAGCAACCCCACACATGGATGGTCTCAGGATGCTTCACTGTTGGCACAACACAGGACCCATGGTATTGTTCACCTTTTTTTCTCAGAACAATCGATTTTCCAGATGTCCCAAACAGTCGGAAGGGAGCTTCATCAGACAAAATAACTTTGCACCAGTCTTCTGCTGTCCAATCCTTGTACTTCCTGCAGAATTTCATAGGGAAGTCGTGGCCTAATGGTTAGAGAGTCGGACTCGTAACCCAAAGGTTGCGGGTCCGAGTCTCGTACCGGCAGGGATTGTAGGTGGCGGGAGTGAATGTACAGTGCTCTCGTCCACCTTCAATACCACGACTGAGGTGCCCTTGAGCAAGGCTCCGAACCCCTTAACTGCTCCCCGGGTGCCGCAGCAAAAAAAATGGCTGCCCACTGCTCCGGGTGTGAGTTCACTGCTGTGTGTGTGCACTTTGGATGGGATAAATGCAGAGCACTAATTCCGAGTATGGGTCACCATACTTGGCCACATGTCACTTCACTTTTAGAATTTCAGTCTGTCCTTGACGTTTTTCTTGGAGTGAAGTGGCTTCTTTGCTGCCCTTCTTGACACCAGGCTCAGTACTAGGGTGGTTAGACCTGATTCAGCATGTGAATTTCAGTCTGTCCTTGACGTTTTTCTTGGAGTGAAGTGGCTTCTTTGCTGCCCTTCTTGACACCAGGCCATTGTCCAAAAGTCTTGGCCTCACTGTGTGTGCAGATGCTCTCACACCAACCTGCTGCCATTCCTGAGCAAGCTCTGCACTGCTGGAGACACGATTCCGTTGATGACTCCTCAGGAGGAGACGGTCCTGTTCTGTAGCTGACTCCTCAGGAGGAGACAGTCCTGGGACGTCCTGAAGACTTCTTTACTGCAGTCCAACCTCTCTCCTTGAAGTTCTTGATGATCCGGTAAATGGTTCTTTCAGATGCAATATCCTTTGTAGCAATTTCCTTGCATGTGAGGCCATTTTGATGCAAAGCGATGATGGCTGCATGTGTTTCTTTGGAGGTAACCATTGCTAACAAGAACAGAATGATTGGAAGCGCTTCTTCCCTCCTTTGATAGCAATCAGGCTACTCTCACAATCTAATTGGTATGATAGTGATTAACCTGACTAGTACTCATTCACACTTTCACATGTGCTGCTGATATGATTAGTCAATTAATGTTAGCTGGTCATTTTGTGTCAGGATCAAAAAACAGTGACTTTTTTTTTTTTTTGTGAAATTTTCATTTTTTTGCCAATGAAGCGTTTAGCAATTATTTCAAATGCATCTGATCACTCTACACAATAATATAGAAACAATGTGAATGAACACAACAACAGCTTAAGAAGCAAAGTTTGCAAAACACAAAATTTATGTCACTGCCAAAACTTTTGGTCACGACTGTACATGCAAACCTGTCTATTGTACTATACCTGTACATACAATTGTCAGTCTGTATATTGTTTTTCCCTATTTACTTGTTCTATTTTTATTCTTTTATTATCTGTATTTTTGTCCTGTCACTGTCATTCTGTTGCACTGTGGAAGCTTCTGGGCCAGTGGAGGGAATTTGGCCAGGACACCGGGGTTACACCCTACTCTTTACGAGAAGTGCCATGGGATTTTTAATGACCACAGAGAGTCAGGACCTCGGTTTAATGTCTCATCCGAAGAACAGATTCGGATAAACTCACTTAATTTTGACTTGTTTTTTCTGAAAACAAGAAAATAATTTTTACTTGTCTAGAAAATCCTTCTTGATTTAAGAATTTTTAGATATTAGCTTGCAAGCTTTCTCTCCAAGGGTGTTTGAGCACCTAGTGTTATGGCTGCTGCTTACATCAGGCTTTGATATTGGGAGCCTCTGGTCATATACAGTGCTCGCTATCCTACTGTAGGACTGACACTGATTGGGGATCTGCTTAGTATAGCCATCTGAGGGTGGTTATATTCCAGCCATTGTTATGGCAGGATGGGCTTACTTGAATACTAGCTGTATGATAGAGCACTTAAGCTCCAGCTAGACATTGGGATCGAGTGTTCAGCCTTCTGTAAGGCGGCCTTGATGAACTGTTGAAGTGTTGTTAGGCTTCCTCTCGTTTATGGGAGTCATTCTGCTGAAGCCTCCGCTCTCTAGATTAGAGCAGAGCTCCACTTAGACAGTACTATTAGCACATAGGCTGTGTCTTACCTAGACAGTGCTGTCTCCCTTGCTAGGGTTGTAAGTGGACATCCCACTTTTTGTGGTCTAGGTAGTAGTGTTGTGACGGTGAGGAAATTTTCCCACCGGTTAATCGACGTGTGACAACACCGGTAATGCTGGTATCACCGCGGGGGCGGGGCTTTTCCTCGCTTTTAAATAGCTTGTAAAAGTGGCATGCCCATTTTACTTTCACTTTCAAATAGCGGCAATTCGGAGTAAAGCAATTGTTCTTAGTTTTTAGTTCGTTTGAATTTTCCCTCTTTTCCTCGCTTTCCTTCGCTTTTCTTCGCTTTTAAATAGCTTGTAAAAGTGGCATGCCCATTTTACTTTCACTTTCAAATAGCGGCAATTCGGAGTAAAGCAATTGTTCTTAGTTTTTAGTTCGTTTGAATTTTCCCTCTTTTCCTCGCTTTCCTTCGCTTTTCTTCGCTTTTAAATAGCTTGTAAAAGTGGCATGCCCATTTTACTTTCACTTTCAAATAGCGGCAATTCGGAGTAAAGCAATTGTTCTTAGTTTTTAGTTCGTTTGAATTTTCCCTCTTTTCCTCGCTTTCCTTCGCTTTTCTTCGCTTTTAAATAGCTTAAATGCGCCGTGTGCATTTTTGAATTAGTGGCAGTTCGGCGTCAATTACTTGAATGCAACAACAAAATACAACGTCAAACTCACTTTAGCCTATATATAAAACATAGAACTTTAATTAACAAAACAAATAAAATACACCATGCTATAGGGCAAGCTATGCCTAATATAAAATAACAAATAACTTACATAAAGTTAATAGGTATACAAAACTGGAAATAAGTAAACATGTATAATATATAACCAAATATATAAGAAACGTAGAACGTTTATTAGCAAAACAAATGTCAAATAAAATAAATAAATGACAGTTTAAATAAAGTAAAAATCAGCAAACAATGTGGAACCAATTAAATAAGAAATGAATGTTTAAAAAAACTTCCAAAATCACCTTAGATAAACAGCAAAAGTCAACAGGCTTTTCAAAATCCAAAATATTGCCAAACAGGTGATTTTGTATCTAGTTTCGAAACTAAATCATCCGCGATCATCTTGTCTGTCTCACCTCACTCTTCTTGTCAGTCTCCTCACTGGAGAAATGAACTCTGATTTGTGATGCGACTGTCGTTCGGCACGCTATATTGAGCAGCCGCGTTCAGTTTTGAATTGTAGTGTCTGTTCTTTAACTGAACTAAATGATTTTTATTTCTATAAAAAATCAAAACGATGGTTGGGGTTCGGTGACGCGGTGGGAAAGTGACGTAACCGGTGTTGCGGCTTAACACCGGTATCACCGTCAGCACCGTCTATCGCGGCAAGCCTACTGGGTAGTCCAGTCGGTCCCCTTCTGTTAGCACTTCCTAGGTATATAGCTATCTGAGGATATCTATGTGCTAGCTCAGTGACTGCTTGCCTTCTTAAGGTTTTTAAGTAGCTGTCTTCCTGAGCTCTTGCCTAGACAGTGCTATCTCTGCTGCTAGGGTCGTAAGTAGATAGGTCATTCCCTGGTCTGGGCAGGATATCTGTGTTATAGCTGAGATTGTTAGTAGCAATTTTTGAGCTTCTCTATGCTTCCAGCCTCTTCGGTGGTCTTATTATCCTGGCTACTATTGCTCACATAGCATAGCTATCCGAGGATGGTTGTGTTCCTACGTCACGGGCCACGTGGACCAATAGGATTGGCGTTATTTTACACAGGCTTCAGACACCGGTCATGCTGGCAGCATACCCCAAAGTGTCCCCTAGAGGGGGACACAGCGTCTCATTACCACTCGGGGAACCATGGTTACATGCATAACCCAAGGCGTTTTTCTAGGAAAATCCAAAGGCTGTGACATAAAACAATCATAACAGTTAGGGTTAGGCTGTTAATTAGGTTATGACCTGTTATCTGTTAATGACATTTGGTCTCTTGTGTGTTATATATCTCTGTTTTGGACAACATTTGCTCGCGTGCCTGTTGCGAGTGTGAATAAACACAAGCTCACGGTAACTGGCTGCAGTTCATTTATGGGCCGCCAGTGTCAATAATAACAGGTTTTCTGATTCTGACATACTGTACCTTTAACTATTAAAAAGAACACATCTGTTATTGCAGAAAGCAGCACATACCTGTTTGACATTGTAGGCGAAAAGCACATACTTCATGTCTGGGCTTATGGAGTACCTGGTGGCTTTGAAAGTATCCTGGAAAAACATGAATGATGTTATCCTCATTACTGCATTCATATCCCATAAACTACAGACTGCGCTTCAACGTTTCTGCTGGGAACATCTCATTATGAAAACCTTAAGGCCTCATATCATGAAAACAATTAAACTTTCTTGATCTTTAGAGATAAAAGTTAATTGTACTATAAAAGCAGTTCTGTGGTCTTGAATTTATGAATTATTATGTAAACTGTTGACAGGGTCATTGGTGTAAATTCAGCTATCATTTTGTCTTGTGGACTGAAAACATCGGTTAGGTGAAATAGATTATTCAGGGCACTACTAAATAAACAAACTCACACCATTTTTGATGCCACTTATTTTATTAATGATTAACATTCTGCAAATTGCATTAGGCGTATGTAAACGCATGTTCAGGTTTTACTCACGAATGTGGAGTTCTTCAGCACGATCTCGGTCTCATTCGTGAGGATGTTGAACCTGATCACATGACCATGATGATTTCTGTAGATGACCTCAGATTCTGGCAAAGAGTGAAAGAGGAGAAAGAGAATATATAATAGCAAATCGTGTTTGTAAGGTTTTGAAGAGCATTCACATCTCACAGCAATGCAGGATCAAACGCACCTTTTGGTCAAAGTGCTCATCTTGGTGATTTATTCATGTAAACACAGTCAGCAATGTGTAAATGAATGCACACACACATCTGATTGGTCAAAATCCATCTGTGTATTATTAGATTTTGTGTGGACTGAAAACATCGGTTAGGTGAAATAGATTATTCAGGGCACTACTAAATAAACAAACTCACACCATTTTTGATGCCACTTATTTTATTGATTAACATTCTGCAAATTGCATTAGGCGTATGTAAACGCATGTTCAGGTTTTACTCACGAATGTGGAGTTCTTCAGCACGATCTCGGTCTCATTCGTGAGGATGTTGAACCTGATCACATGACCATGATGATTTCTGTAGATGACCTCAGATTCTGGCAAAGAGTGAAAGAGGAGAAAGAGAATATATAATAGCAAATCGTGTTTGTAAGGTTTTGAAGAGCATTCACATCTCACAGCAATGCAGGATCAAACGCACCTTTTGGTCAAAGTGCTCATCTTGGTGATTTATTCATGTAAACACAGTCAGCAATGTGTAAATGAATGCAAACACACATCTGATTGGTCAAAATCCATCTGTGTATTATTAGATTTTACAGTCTAAATGCAGCTAACAGACCAGCTGCTGCTTGTCATTTATTTGCTAAGTCCTATTTATTTCAAAACGAGTTCCCCTTTCTTTCCTGCATTTGACCTGCACTCTCGCTCGTGTCCGATCTATCTTCTGACGGATAAACAAGCAGGGCTGCTCATCTGTTTCACGTCAGGTTATTCACATTTATGAGCTGCATGATGGCTGTGAAGGTACATTTTCAGTCTGAGAGTCATGCGGAGCTGCTATTGACTGCAGTGAGGAAAAGCAGATGGTGAAACATTAATAAAGCTCTCAGTTCACTCTCAAACCGGAACAAAACTCTGAGTGCTGAAAGCAGAAAGTATCTGGATAACTGACTAATGGAATAATTCAAAAGTTACAGACACAAAATAAAACCAAATAAATAAAAAAAATACAGCAGATATAATTATACTAGATTTTTTAAAATTAACATATGATAAAAAATTAACAACAAAAAAATTCAGGTAAAATCTTACTAAAGTCCCTGAGTGAGTGTACTACATTAAAAAGTTTTCTACTTGCATTAAATACCGGGACAGTCCAATAAAATATGGATGAAGGGCTGCTAAGAATAATGCTGATTAATGCATTTACAGCACAAACATTTGTCTAAAAGGCTCAAACAGATGATTGATCTGATGTGTAACGGCACAAACAACTCGACTCAAAGAGCTCCAGGACGCAGCACAACATACACAAGTAAGAGCTGAATTCAGCGAGAGGTTTGTCTAGAAGATCCAGAGGAGCGTCAGTCAGAGGACAGTCTCTGTTCAACAGCAGCACAGCATTCATGAGACGGGAGAAAAGCTGCTGTGAAATATTTATTCTGTTCTTCTCTGCAGATGAGATGCGTTGACTCGTTCTGAAGGTCACGTGCTGAGCTTACACACAAACGCTCGCTAGAGGACGATCTACACACTCAGAGTTATGTCAGATTGAGCTGCATCACATCCACGGCTGAGAACACTGAAGAACAGAGCTAAGCTGAAGTCTGGAGTGACTGATAAACACAGATCTGTATGGAAGAGAAGCAGGAGCTGAAGGATTCACTTCATCACACACAGACACACACACACACACACACACACACACACACACACACACACACACACACACACACACTCACACACGCTGATAAACACAGATCTGTCTGGAAGAGAAGCAGGAGCTGAAGGATTCACTGCATCACACACTCACAATGAAATATTCATGCTGCTGCTGCCAGGGTAAGACCTGAGATCCCCCTCCCCCGTCCTGTTACCATAGCAACTACCACATCCACCACACAGACATACACACACACACACTCACACACACACACACACACACACACACACACACTCACACACACACACAAACGTGCACACTCACACAGACGCTCACACGCGCACACACACACTCACACGCTCACACTCACACTCACGCACACACACACACACACACACACACACTAGTCTCAGTAAACTACTAGTTTAGCAGTTTTATACTACAAGTATACTCGTACGTTTTCTTTAAGTGAACTTTACATCATACTCTAAGTATGCTACTACGTCCCTATTTAGGTATGAATTTGTATATATTTTGTTACAGGAATATCTGAACATACAAACATCAAAAGAACAGAGTATCTGCTTGTAAACAAATACATTTTATTCTAGCGTCATGCATTCTTTTTTTAAACACTTGAATGTGGATAAGTTTCAAAAATAAAGAAATAAACAACATTTTGAACAAAAAGCTGAAAAAAGACTATGAATTGAATTAAGAATGATAATCAAAATGTAGATAAAGTCGATCAACACCCCAAAGCTTGACAGTTATTATCACCTCTTCATTGGTGGACATTTTATTCCATAACGTTACACAGTTTTGATGCTGTTTTATGTCTGATGATCGTGTTAGATTACATGTGGAAGCATCTGTTGTTTCGGTTTCTTCTTCACTTGTGTTTTTTGGATATTCTGTACAGAAGATGTGTATTAGCGCCCCCTACGGTATAACAATGACAACACGGATTCTAGGAACACAAGTATAGCTCAAATATATTTAGACTTTTTCTAAGTATAAGTCAAGTATACTTAAATGTCATTTTAAGCCCATTTCTGAGAAGTACATAAAACGTAGACTGAAAGTATACTTTCCTATTTTTAGTTTAAAGGAAGTATACTAATAACACACTTGAATAAACTTCTTTTTCGTAAGGGGAGACAAGAAAAATACGGGAAAATGACAAATGTCAAATCGTTGTGCTCCTGCTCAGTGTCCTGCGGGAAGCTTCACATTAACGAGTCAGGATGTGACCTCACCGAAACAGATGGCATTTCAAATGTGATGCTTTCCATATAAATGTATATTAGACCTGATATTAAATGATGGCTCACAATCCAGATAACTGAGCTCTGATCAGATCTGCACACGATAATGTCCAGAGCTGCTGCAGTGTGCATCTGACTGACCGGTTGTTCAGGTTGATGCCTGTGCTTCTGATGAAGAACCAGACACTGGATCTGGCTTTAAATCTTCTGAGGTCATTCAGGCGGGGCTTAGCTTAAGCCAGGACTAGGCCATAGTTCAATTAGGATTTTAAAGTCATTTTTATAAACATGCCTTAGAAAAAACATTACTGGAGTGCATCTTGAGACAAAACAAGGGCACTGACATATTTCAAGATCAATCAGTGCAAGTTTCTTTCAGTTGAAACAGCTCAGACTTACATTTTAGTCTGGGACTAGGCTTAAGCTTTGCCTGTGAAACCAGGGGTCAGAGTTTTAAGGGTTTTGCACTTTGAAGGGAAACTAAATATCCAGCACAACTGAAGTGCTGCTTTGTTTTCTGCCTGTGAAATCATCTGCATTTACCACTTTAGATGGGCAGCATTTCTGATCACCAAGTCTACACACATTTCCACTCATTTCTACACAGTCAGTAATGACACTGCGGCTGGGCAACTGCTTAAATTGCCGGTCTATATTTGCGGTCTCAATCATTTCAGATAAACCTGAAGAGCAGCAACAAAACAACTTTAGATGGAGATTTACGTGTCGGTCAGTGCGTTTCTTGTTTAAACGGCTGGTTTTATAATGTTTACTGCTCAGCGTCTGCAGTCGTGATCAATCATCCTGTGCGATCAGCTGTGCTTAAGAGCTCATGACGGTGTACAGATGATTAATGAATGAGATCCATTAGAAATGAATGGCGCGAGTGACTTTGTGGTTGTATCGTCTTACCGTTGATCCAGCACGCTTCAGGGTCGTGTACGTAGAAATCTGTGCTGAAAAGATCCTCCACCATCAGCTTGGTGTCACTGCTGGGCTGCGTATCCACTGTCACACAAACAGACAGACAAGAGCGTGGGGTCAGAAACAGAGACGCTGAAGGCCTCACGCGTCACGTAACAAACGCTCCAGACTTTAGCAATGCAGAAATCTGCCAGACTGATTCCAGGAAGGAACTTCAGGAGCTGCAGTACCTGGAGTGAGGAGGATCACAGACAAGGTGATGAGAGAACAGACCGCCAGAATGACCAGCAGAGCGATGGCGATCCCCTTCCAGTTCCTCTGAGGAGCACTCATGCCCGCCAGGTCCTTCAGAAACACAAGCACACACAAACACCTCAGTTCTTCAGCTGCACAGAAGTCACAGCAGGAATCTAGGAATAATAAAGGTTTCATTTGAGTTCATTTGTACTTGATGATAGACGAGTCTAAATGATCTGAGTAACAGAAGCACGACTCATATGAGGCAGTTATGATTTCTGTCAGAATGGACAAAGGCTTTCTGCTCCAACACTTCAGTCATTCATCAACCTCTCAAACCTTCACCTTCACGAAGGACTAGAAACACTGTACAGGAGCGTTTCTGCTCACTGATGAAAACTAATGTCTCCCACGTTTATCCTGGTATAGAGACTGAAACGACTCGGAGATCTCGTCAGACCTCCACACGGACATCTGCAGTGAATGTGATAAAACAATAATACAGACAGTGAAATTCAAGATCAGAGTGACCAAAAGAAAGCTCTGGTCCAGTTTAGAAGAGCAAACCGACCTTGATTTAAAGGACAGTCATATTTAGATCTTGTATATTATGTCTTCAGTCAATGATAATCGCTGTCCTTTCAGAGGATCATAAATCACTGAAATACTGCAACGGTCAAAGTCACCAAACACTTCCACATTACAGCTCTCTGCAGATCGCATGAAAGGGTTAAAGATGTGATGATTTGCTGCAACTTCAGAGAGCAATAATAGGAAAATAAAACAAGGAACTGATGAAAATGAACTCCTCAAACCTTGGCTGTGAGCGTGAGACCGAGAGAGCGTGCCGCTATTTTTAGTGAGGTGACACGTGAAACTGCTCGCTTTGACCTCACTGAGGACACGTTTAGGACGTCAGAGGACGAACAGATTCATCCTTCATCTCTCAACACGAGCGGCGGATCTCGCTCCTTCACACGCCATCAAACACCACAATCGATGGTGTTTCCTAACAGAAGACACCATAAAAAACGTCAGCAATGTCACTGTGCAAAAATACTCCTAAAGTCTATATATAAAGGTCTTCACTGTAGTACTTTTCCATTGTAAATTTGTATGACCATTTTCAATGTAAAACTGTATGATTCTTCTGCTCATATTTTTAAATATCCCCAGGTTTGTTAATGTTTTTGATCGTATCTGAGCATCATTTTTGTGCAAACAACACTCTAGCATCAAGTTTTGCCTCAGAAAATGTTTAATGTCTAGTTTATTCTTGTTTTTCCAGAAATAGTTGAGAGGAAGATGATACTACAGATTATTTTTTTTAAATCCCTATATTTGTTAATGGTTTTTGAACATTTTTAAGCATCACTTTTACTAGTTTTTACAGTGATTTGAACAAACACCCTAGTATTAGTTTTGCATGAGAAAATGTTTAATGTAGTCTCTTTTTTTATTTTTCCTTTATCAGAAATATTTTTCCAAAAATATCCCAAGTTTGTTAAATTAAATTAAATTAAATTTTATTTTATTTTATTTTATTTTATTTTAGACAGACAGACAGACTGATAGACAGACAGATAGACAGACTGATAGACAGACAGATAGACAGATGATAGACAGACAGACAGACTGATAGACAGACAGACTGATGAATAGACAGACAGACTGATGAATAGACAGACAGATTATAGACAGATAGACAAATGATAGACAGACAGACAGACTGATGATAGACAGATAGACAGACTGATGATAGACAGATAGACAGATGATAGACAGATGATAGACTGATAGACAGACAAACTGATGATAGACAGATAGACAGACTGATAGACAGACAGATAGACTGATGTTAGACAGATAGACAGATAGACAGACTGATGATAGACAGATAGACAGACAGACAGACTGACAGACAGATAGACAGACTGATAGACAGACAGATAGACAGATGATAGACAGACTGATGATAGACAGATAGACAGATGATAGACAGATAGATAGACAGACAGACAGACTGATAGACAGACAGACTGATGATAGACAGATAGACAGACAGACAGACTGACAGACAGATAGACAGACTGATAGACAGACAGATAGACAGATGATAGACAGACTGATGATAGACAGATAGACAGATGATAGACAGATAGACAGACTGATGATAGACAGACTGATAGACAGACAGACAGACTGATAGACAGACAGATAGACAGACTGATGATAGACAGATAGACAGATGATAGATAGACAGATGATAGACAGACAGACAGACTGATGATAGACAGACAGACAGACTGATGATAGACACTGGAGACAGCGCAGATATCTAATCAGTCCTGCCTCCTCACTGACACCTGAATCACATTCATCACTCCGAACTAACGAGAACTCAACACTGTTCCGAGAACAAGAGCTAAACTATCTGCTCATCATCACTGATATGGCAAGCCGTTTGGACTTTTATTCATTCTCAGGATATGAATTCTTGATATCAACAATTAAATTGTTTCTATATCAATATCATTTCTGATATCTAAAATGGCTTTCTTACTAGTAACGATCACATTCATGATATCAGAAACATTGTGACTAGTGACAATCGCATTATTGATATCAAAAATGAAAATTTTTACTAGTAGCAATTTAAATGTTGATATCAAGAATAGACAAGAATAGTAACCACGTGATTACTGATATCAAAAATAAAGGTTTTTACTAGTAAGAATTGTATTTCTGATATGTGAAATTGTCATTTCAACTAGTAAGAAATCAATTTGTGATATCAACAATTAAATTTGAATGGCAGCCTATGGTGACATTTAACTAGTGAAAATACAATTACAGATATCAAGAATTATAGTTTTTACTTGTTGAAATCCAAATCCTGATATCAAGAATGAGCATTTTAACTAGTGGAAACTGAATTGTTGATATCAAGAATTCATTTGGACTTTTATTCATTCTCAGGATATGAATTCTTGATATCAACAATTAAATTGTTTCTATATCAATATCATTTCTGATATCTAAAATGGCTTTCTTACTAGTAACGATCACATTCATGATATCAGAAACATTGTGACTAGTGACAATCGCATTATTGATATCAAAAATTAAAATTTTTACTAGTAGCAATTTAAATGTTGATATCAAGAATAGACAAGAATAGTAACCACGTGATTACTGATATCAAAAATAAAGGTTTTTACTAGTAAGAATTGTATTTCTGATATGTGAAATTGTCATTTCAACTAGTAAGAAATCAATTTGTGATATCAACAATTAAATTTGAATGGCAGCCTATGGTGACATTTAACTAGTGAAAATACAATTACAGATATCAAGAATTATAGTTTTTACTAGTTGAAAAGTAATTGTTGATATCAAGAATTCATATCCTGTGAAGGAATAAAAGTCAAAACGGCTTGCCATATCAGTGCATCTGTGATTACGATCAATAAAACCTTACAGACGTGACTCCACAAACACCACTGTCTCATATATTTCAGAACGTGCTGACGAGGTGAGAGTTTCTGATTCTCAGACATCTTGAGTTTTTGGAAATGGTTTATTGATATAAATACTTCTCATATCGAAGCCACATTCACACTGCAGCTGTCATGAATTTACCGAGCGCTTCATCTCCTTCTGTACAGACAGATTGGCAGGAATAAAAGTCAAAACGGCTTGCCATATCAGTGCATCTGTGATTACGATCAATAAAACCTTACAGACGTGACTCCACAAACACCACTGTCTCGTATATTTCAGAACGTGCTGACGAGGTGAGAGTTTCTGATTCTCAGACATCTTGAGTTTTTGGAAATGGTTTATTGATATAAATACTTCTCATATCGAAGCCACATTCACACTGCAGCTGTCATGAATTTACCGAGCGCTTCATCTCCTTCTGTACAGACAGATTGGTCGTTTATGTGTATTACAACCAAATGCAAAAAAAACAGGTTGTCAACATATATTAAATCTGAAGTTTCCATTGTGTGGTTGGCATTTATGGAACTGTCCACTCTGAACTAAAGGTAATAAATTGTGCCCAAAATATTGACAAACCTCTAGAAATGCACAACATTAACATTTGCAGTTAAAACCTAAGAAAAATTTAAATGTCATGTGAACAATTTCTCTCTAAATAGATATTAAATTAGAGAATAATTAGGAACACTGCAGTTGAAATCTGCATTAGAGAGAAGAAGACAGGAGGAAAAACCTTGACTTTCCAGAAACTGTTTTCCAGAACTGTTAAAAGCGAGTTGACTGTGAGTTTTGCTTAATACCAGTTTTCTGTTGCTGTCATTTAGAGTAAATATCTGCTAGTAGAGAGGATTCATTCATTCACTGCTTATTTTATTTAAAAAGATTATGCTGATTGTGCATCTTGTTTGCTATTGGCTGTAAAAGAAAAAATACTTTTTGCTTTTTTACGCTTAAGTGGCAAACTGTACCACACTTAGTTTCGATTTTGAGCCATTTTCGTGCTATAGTCTCTCATTGCTGGGCATCACCAGAACTGCACTCCACTGGTTTGAGTCTTACTTCACTGGTAGGTCCTTCAGGGTGGCCTGGGGAGGGGAGGTATCCAAAGCACACCAACTGGTCACTGGGGTTCCTCAGGGCTCAGTTCTAGGACCGCTCCTCTTCTCCATATACACTACATCACTGGGTCCCATCATACAGGCACATGGCTTCTTCTAACATTGCTATGCTGATGACACACAGGTCTGTCTCTCATTTCAACCAGATGATCCAACGGTAGCTGCACGGATCTCAGGTTGCCTGGTGGACATCTCGGCATGGAACATCACCTACAGCTCAACCTGGCAAAGACTGAGCTTCTCATCTTCCCAGCAACTCCTTCAGTACAGCACCAGTTTACCATCCATCTGGGCTAATCAACAATAATCCCATTGAGTTCAGCTAGGAATCTTGATGATCTGCTGACCTTTAAAGATCATACCACAATAACGGCACGATCATGCAGGTCTGCACTACGCAACATCAGGAAGATCAGACCCTTCCTAACAGAACATCGTCCAGGCCCTTGTCATTTCTAGGCTGGGTTATTGCAATGCTCTTCTGGCTA